CCTTGAAATCCTTGAAAAGCCCTGGAATTGAAAAAACATTTTCAAATGCACTTGAAAAGCCCTTGAAAATAGCAAAGTTGCTGGATACTCCTGGAATTCTCCTTGAAATCATAACATTTTTTCGATTGTAGTGTTCTTATAGCTCCAATAACATCAAGCATTATCTTAAGTCGATGTTGAAATAATGTGTTTTTTGTCTCTATAAACTTTAAAGAAACAAATTCACAAACAAAATGGTCCTTGAAAATCGTAATTTTGAGCCTTGAAAAGTCCTTGAAAAGTCCTCGAATTTTTTGTTTGAGATGTAGCACGAACCCTGATAAAAGAAATTAAGAAATATTTAGAAAATATTTCTATTCCTTAATACATGAATTTAATACAAAGAAAAAATATGCTGTCAATTTTAATTCAGTCYTCTTGCATTTCTTTGCAATTAAGATGGCTTGAATGTAAGCATGCAGAGGAGGAGAGCACAGTTTTGGATCAATGAGCATGTATACTGAGGTAAATATCTAATAAATATATGTATATCTTGTACAAGCAAATAAAATTTCAAAGGATAAACACTGCAAAAAACTAAACTTACATAATTCTTCAAAAAGGAAATGCACATTGAGTGAGGTGAGAGCACTAGTTTCTGCGAATATAGCATCAACACTGTTTGCGAACTCTTGAGCTTCGTGTGTTGACACCTTTAATGAGAAATTCATATGATCAACATTAATGATCTATTTTGGCCTGGATTCTCATTTTATTAAACCAAACCTTGGGGTAGCAGAGTTGAGTCAAGRGGTTAYCATGTACTCAGAGGCAGATYCASRGGTGGTTAAGTGAGTGGCTAGCCACCCCTCTTTTGCTTAAATTTCGCAGTATATCCTTAGTAAGCCACCCCCCTTTTCCTCGTATTCCTGGTAAAACTTTTGTAATTGTCACCCCCCTGCTAAATTCCCTGGATCTGCCACTGTGTACTTTACGACCAACCGACACATGTCAGTCAACAATTGGTCGACGCACAATCAACACTTGATCAGCACTTGGCTGACAAACCACCAATGATTTAACAACACCCACTCATCCACTCCCACTTCGCTGTAATTTCATGTCATTTCTAGCAAAAAATATATGTAAACATATGAGAAACATTTGGGTAATTTGCCGCATAATCAGCCATTTTTGMYGCATAATTTGGCCTAAAATTCYGCACAATTTCAATTTTTTTGCYGTCAGATACCCTGTAGCTCAACCTTACTGGTMAAAATGACCAGCAAGGCAAAGATTTGACCAGACARGTTAAAATTCTGACTGGACATTGTCTACTGACCAGCAGTTATCTTAACCCCTTTCATTAAAGTCCATAGAAACAAATGAAGAAATAAAAAAAGCTTGTAGACAATGAGAGAAATGTTACGAGAAGCAGAACATGAAGCAAAGTGCTTCTCAACACTTATCTCTGTGCTCTGTCAATCCACAAGTGCTTTATAGCTTCACAGCACAGTAAGCAAGTTCCTTTTTATGTATAAAATCAAACTACAAAAACTGTTATTTTAGATAGGAATGACGCAACTGAAGGTGTGCACACTCTGCATGCTGTGTGCTATGTGCTCTCATAAAGCACACACTCCCAACCAATCAGAACGTGAGATTTATAACAGTTATTTTATAATGCATTATGATCTTTCATGAGAACTTACTTCTCTTTGTTCAGCTTTATCACATTTATTTCCAGCAATTGCTATGACAATATCTGGTGGTCCATATCGCTGTAGTTCTCTGATCCAGGGCCGTAATGCATGAAAAGTAGGCTGT